CGCAGGTCTATGGGGATATCGACGGCGACAACGTCCTCGATCAAGTTCCGCCCGTCACGCTCCTTAGCAATGTGTTCAATGTCACCATCCCACCCCCTTCGCCTTATCTAGCTTTTAAGCTTTCGGTGAATGACGGCGATCTGAGGGTCTACGCCACACCCACCGGATCGAGATGGGTCCAGCTAGCTCTCTTCATCTTGCTGGCTGTCATACCTGTCGCCACAGCGGTCGGAGCGGTGTTCATTTACCTCAAGGCCTTTTACCAAGTCAAGTTCAATCAAATCGGCGTCACTGAGAAGACTTCAACGCTTGCACCGATTCTGGGCGCCCTTATGAAGATAACCCGGTCCTCGAACGAAAAGGAAGCCAGCCCGGAAGACAATCAGCGTTCCGTGAGCCCGTCTGGTCTTCCGACTGGGGGCGCCATTGGGGCTATTGTTAGCACCCCGCGGCGCACTGTTCTTATTGCCACCATGGAATACGACATTGAAGATTGGGCGATTAAGATCAAAATCGGTGGCCTGGGTGTGATGGCTCAATTAATGGGCAAGAACCTTACCCATCAGGACCTCATATGGGTGGTCCCCTGTGTTGGAGGCGTGGATTACCCTAGGGACGACCCGCGTGAACCGATGGTGGTGACTGTCCTTGGGACAACATACCATGTTGATGTTCAGTACCATCGGCTGCATAATATCACATATGTCCTGCTGGATGCGCCTGTGTTTCGAGCCCAATCGAAGTCGGACCCGTATCCTGCCAGGATGGACGACCTCAACTCTGCCATCTTCTACTCGGCCTGGAATCAATGCATTGCTGAAGCCATCAAGCGGTTCCCGCAAATTGATCTCTACCATATCAATGATTACCATGGTGCAGCAGCTCCACTCTATCTCCTACCTCGAACAATTCCATGCTGCCTGTCTCTGCATAACGCGGAATTTCAAGGCTTGTGGCCAATGCGAAACCCCCAGCAAATACAGGAGGTCTGCCGAGTGTTCAACCTGGATCAGGCAATAGTCAAGAAGTACGTCCAGTTCGGCGACGTGTTTAATCTCCTTCACTGCGCCGCGAACTACCTGAAAATACACCAGAACGGATTCGGTGCAGTGGGTGTCTCGAAGAAATACGGCAAGCGATCGTACGCTAGATATCCCATTTTCTGGGGTCTCAAGAGCGTTGGAGCCCTGCCAAATCCCGATCCGTCTGACTTGGCGGACTGGGATAGCAATGCGAGCAAACAGCCCGAGGAGGTCACCATCGATGTGGAGTTCGAGGCCAACCGTGGCGCACTGAAAAGGCAAGCACAGGAGTGGGCAGGGCTGAAGGTTGACCCCGACGCTCAGTTGTTTGTCTTTGTCGGGCGCTGGTCCATGCAAAAAGGTGTTGACCTTATCGCGGACATCTTCCCCTCTGTTCTGGATGCTCACCCAAAAGTGCAGTTGATGTCCATTGGACCAGTCATCGATCTCTATGGAAGGTTTGCGGCTTTGAAGCTGAACCGGCTTATGGAACTCTATCCAGGACGTGTCTATTCCAAGCCAGAATTTACTGCACTGCCTCCCTTCATCTTCAGTGGCGCTGAATTTGCATTGATTCCATCGCGGGATGAACCGTTTGGTCTTGTGGCTGTCGAGTTTGGGCGCAAAGGAGCTTTAGGCGTGGGATCACGGTATGACTCTACACTAACGTTGCTACGAGTATCAATGCTGACATATGTACATCATGTAGGGTCGGTGGCCTTGGACAGATGCCAGGATGGTGGTACACAATGTAAGCTTCTTCATCCTACCAATGAAACATGCAGAGGCAGTGCGCTAATGTATTCAAGTGAGTCGATGACAACGAAACATCTCATCCACCAGTTCAAGTTGGCCATCAACGATGCTCTGAGATCATCTCAAGAAACACGCGCTATGATGCGTGCACGATCAGGCAAGCAGCGGTTTCCCGTGGCGCAGTGGGTTGAGGATTTGGGTATCCTACAAACCACCTCCATCGTAAAGCACGCAAAACACTCTAAAAGCCAGGACCGCAATTCTTGGAGGTTATCCGGTGTCGGTACAATGGTTCCCGATAGACCTCGCAACTTTCGGTTCTCATCGAGCTCGAATACCAGTCGCGAACAGAGCCGTTCACGCAGCTCAGACAACTCGGGTCCCCCCAGCAGGCCCATTACTGCGGACGCAAAACAAGCCGTTGCCAGGCCAGGCCACAGTCATGTTGCCTCATTGCCAGCAAATCTGCCTTCGAATCCGAACATGTTCAACGATTCTGACACTGACAACGAACCAAGACGCAGACCAGTATCCTCCACCCCCCGCGGAGGTCCTCGCATTGTTTATACCCTCGGCAACGACGACCAAGATCTCGAGAACATGACAGGGGTCACCCAAGATGACTTTGGTCCTCATCTTGCCTCGTATCTGTCGCCATCTGGGGCACCAAATACTCCCCCAACCTTTGCTAACTCTGGGGCTAGTACCCCCACCCTCGGCGCCGGACCGGACGATGGTCTACTAGGGCGAAGGAACCTAAGCCCGTCGATGATGAGTCTGGTTAGCATCCATGACATCGTCAAGGAGAAACAAGACTACAACCTCCAGAAAGTCAATCCGTTTTTCACAGATGCTAATCATGAGTACGCAGCCAAGTTTGAACGGAAACTTGCCGGTCTGAACGGCAAAAACTCAGAGGACCAGTTGTGCATCGAGGAATTCATCGAGAAAAGCGAAAAAGACTGGTTCAACCGTTACCGAGATGTCAAACTGGGCAAATCACCTCTCCCGTCTCCGTCTCCGTCTATCTTCCGCTTTAAAGTTCAGGACGCTAGTCGACCACCTACCCCTGCAGTCAATGGCCCTGCTGAGGATCCAAACGGTGGGCAATTTCTTCTCCCCAAGGATTATGTTCCTCCTACCGGCTTGAAGCGTTTCATGCTCATCAAGCTGGGCGACTGGCCCTTGTATTCAATTGTGCTTGCTATCGTGAGTTTGAACCTTCCCCAGACGCTGCCCAAATTCACTCTAATAGAACAATACCAGGGCCAAATCCTTGCCTTGAACTCCTATCAGATTACTCTGTTGAACGGCGAGATCGGAGAAACGGCAGAAAAGCTGTACATCCTGGCTTCGATTTATCTCGCGTCCTCAATCATCTGGTGGATGGTTTTCCGGCTCGTTCCATCAGTTTATGTACTAACTATTCCTTACCTGGTATGTGAACTTGTTTCCATATTTCTCACTGCCTAGGCCTTCATTCTAACTGTGTTAAAGTTGTACGGCTTAGCCTTCCTGTTCGTCGGAATCGCGGGCCCCATTGGCAACAGCACCAGCCAGACGTGGCTACAGAATGTGGGCACCGGGCTATATTCATTTGCATCTTCCAGTGGATCCATCTTTTTCGCCCTGAACTTTGGAGACGAAGGTATGTATATGGACAGCATCTGCCGGTCACCCTATCTAACCTTTGTATGTTTTAGGCGGGGCGCCTCTCAGCTCCTGGATATACCGAGCCACCGTGATACAGGGTAGCCAGCAGCTGTGCATCAGTTTTCTGTGGTACTGGGGTAGCTGGATGGCAAGCCTCAACCAAGAGGGTAGTACGCGATTCAGTCTTAGCATAACTGACCCAAACGTGTTGCTCGGGGTCGGCATCGGCCTGGCTTGTGTGTTGTGGCTGTTGGGGGCCTTGGTATTCTTCGGACTTCCTGCATACTATCGGCAAACACCTGGGCGGGTCCCAACCTTCTACCTCTCGCTCTTCCGGCGTCGGGTCATCCTGGTATGTTTCTGTCGACCTTCATAAAACTCGGCCTTTGATATCGGGTGCTAACCGATTTTCTTCTAGTGGTTCTTCTACATGGTGTTCATCTCCAACTACTGGCTATCAGCACCGTATGGACGAAATTGGCTGTATCTTTGGTCAAGCAAGCACGCCAAGGTGTGGCAGATCATTCTGCTAGTCCTTCTCTTCTTTGTCGTGGTGTGGGCAGCTGCGCTCTGGGTATTTCACGTGCTTTCCAAGCGACATGCCTGGTTCATCCCGATCTTTGCCATTGGGCTGGGAGCCCCTCGATGGGCGCAAATTCTATGGGCCACTTCCAACATTGGCACCTATATTCCTTGGGCGGGTGGACCAGTTGCTGGAGCCATTCTCGGACGGGCGCTCTGGTTGTGGCTTGGGGTTCTGGATAGTCTTCAGGGTATTGGTGAGTCTTTCCCTTTATTAACTGTCGGGGTTCTTCTCAACTAACAATCAACCATTTACGTAGGGTTTGGAATGATTCTTCTAAATACCATGACTCGTTTCCATGTCACCTTCACCCTCCTGGCGGCGCAGGTGGTGGGTTCGGTCGCCACCATTCTGGCTCGAGCTACAGCTCCTGATAAGTTGGGGCCAGGCAATGTCTTCCCTGATTTCTCGGCAGGAGTGGCCGCCGGGTTGAGCAAAGCGGATTTTTGGGTGTGTCTGCTGTTGATGCTCTCCATCAACGTCATCTGCATCTTTTTCTACCGCAAAGAGCAGCTTTCAAAACCATAGTTGTTGCATATACTGTAGTCTAATTCTCTTGGACCAGTCTCTTGGTATGTAGAGAACTGGTTAGCATCATTGGAGTAATTGGGGGAATTTTGTCTAGTGTTCATGTTTGGTTCAATTTCCGCGGAGATATATAAATTGTATATTTTTTCCCAAAACGATGTACATGGGAGGTGTTTGATTCATGTGAAATGTGAGAGACTGGGTGTGGGATATATATATAAATAATGTGGTAGCACACAATCCAATAATAGGATATATATAGAATAGAAGGACCGCAACTTCCCATCAAATGTTCGTGTTAACCATCGTCTCCAAATCGAATAATCTTCTTTTAATCAGGTGATGGCGCAGCGCGGGACAAGTTCGGCCCGAGCCATCCCGGCTATTCCTGTTCAGGCCTGATCCCTCAGGCTGCCTGCATGACATTTAATTTAATACGAGATGATTGCCCCCTCTCCCTAACTCGTGCCAAAAATTTATCACATCCCTTGCCAGTCCTTTCTGCAACACGCGATTGTCTTTTGTTTCCAGTGAGAGCCGTTGTTCTGCCACTCTTTTCAGAGCAACGCGATTCTCGTTCACTCGTTTAACTTATCCATCCCGTGGCCCTATCAACAACTTTAGGCATTTTACTCTAGTCACTCATTACTGTCTACCATGTATCGCTCACTTTTCTCTATTCTTATTGCTCTCTGCGTCTATGCGCATTGCGCCTTTGCCTCCTTGACTTCAAGTGAGATCGCCAACTCCTTGAATGAATTGGCGCAACAAGGTTTCGCTGCCAAGGATCTCGTATTGGAGATTAACTCCACCGCCGATGCCGGTCCAATGCGTGTATGTTGGCCCTGGGTATCCTGACAGCTTCAAATATGCGTTTTTCTGATGAGATGTAGGATGTCTATACGGAAATGGATACGATCGTGACCGTGGTTCTCACGGATGTCGAGTTCATGACCAATACCCCTATCATCACTGATCAATCCGAGGAGCAGACAGTATATGAAGGGTACTCAAATGTGAGATCGTCAGCCTAACCCATAGCAACTAAATATAAAACTCATTTCTTTGGCCGCTAGTTCGTACAATCGCTCCTTGAACTCATGGACGCCTTCTCCGACAGTGCAACTGAGTTGAAGTCGATTGACTCAACCACCAAGGAGAAAGTGCCCTCGGAAGTTCGCATCCTGGAAAGTGCCGTGGACGTGAGATTGCCTCCATTTTTGAGCCATTGAGGTTTATACTAATATGCCATCAGGCCTACTTCTATAATATTATCGGCCTCTTCCCGGCTAACAGCTCGTACAATGCCCAAGCCAGCAACCAGAAAGCTCAGGTCGACACCCATTGCTTCCAGGCTATCTGGGCGTTTGATCTCAGCGATGGCAGTCAGTCTAGCTCTCAATCGCGCAGGAATACCTCTCTTCATGCTCGAAGAATGATGCGAAACTCCGTGTAAATTGAACCATGTACTTTCTGTAAGGATTGCGCAGAGCTGGATCGTCATCTTGATGGTCACCAGCGGAACCCTCTGTTGAATATTTCTAATTCTTAATTACCTTGTACCATAATAGTTATTTCACTGGCACTTTCAGGCACTAAGTTTATGAGTGGGCATTGTTTTGTTGGCTACATAGATTGGAAGTAGACAAAATCTAGCGATACTACTCCCGGGGCAGCAGAATCGTCCTGAGGTACACGGCACGTAAGATAGTCACATTCGTGGTTCTCTCCTATAGAAAGAAGAAAATGGGATAAAACAAGAAAGTTGGCCCTCTTAGGCTCATATTTTGCATCCAATTTTGTTACTTCGGTAGCCATTGCCTTGCAATGTTCCCATGGGTCCGTCTGGAGAGTCAATCATATTATAATTTGGAAAGGTGGAACTCACATCCTATAGTGCTTAATCCGAAGTAGATTAGAAATTATAGTAGACATTCAAAAACTATGGGATGAGCCGTTAGGGAAGCAAAGGTAACCACTGCAGACTTATCAACAACCCTTTCACGGAGCCCAAGGCAGTCTTCGATATTGAGCATGTTGTTGCCGATCAGCTTCGCGGGGTTAATATCTCGTCGGAATCCATCAGCGCCTATGTCCGGTCCCATCATCATATGGATCACACCGATGAAGCATAGTCGGCCGAAGAAGTGTTCCTGTGTCCTGCCGCCATCTTTGGAGCTATATCACCTGCGGAAATGAAGGGGCATATACTCGAACTTCCCCCTTTCTACGGACTGAATGCCGTGACGATAAAAGTCTGGGGGATGCAGAGGCTGCACTTTTGGATGACCTCTGATGCAAAAGCGAAGTCTTGGTTATCATCGCTCATGATGCAGCCCTTCGGAATGTCCTGCCATTCTCCCAAAAGCACATCACCGACGGAGATATGGCTGGGTACAAAGCCAACGGGACTTGCAGATTTCGAAAGATTTTTGCTGTTGCTGTTGATGGGAATAGGGAATACTTGATTCAGACATGCCATTAGTCTACGCCTGGAAAGTCCATGGTGTCACTCTAGAGCACGCCCAGTCATAATACTGGTGCGGCTGTATTTGCGGAGAGGGGATTCGGAATAGTGGTATGCCATATAGAGTAAAGAGGAAAATGAGGAGAACAACAAGTAAAAAGACATGAAATTGAACCAGGAACATACAGATTATGAAGACAGGATGGCAGTCTAGGGCCTCAACACAACCTGACCCCCCCAGCCGCTCAATCTTCCTGCCGCATCCAATGCGCCTTCAATTTCATCCAGCCCAAATTCCTCGATGTGAGTGACGCCGCCCTTCCCACCCAGCGGAAGCAACCCAGACCGCACCATTTGAATCAGCCGGAACACATGCGGACAATCATACATAAACCGTCCCTGAATGCGAATGCCCTTGAACATGATCTCCCCGTAAGGCACCTGAATACTCCCCAAGTGCCCGCCCATCAGGACACATCAACCGAATGATCCCAGCGCACGAATACCGGCAACTAAGAGGGATGAGTCCTGAAGGATTGGGGGCGACAGGTCCAGGTATACATGGGCCCCCTCCGGTTGGCCGACCGCTGTTTTGAAGGACTGGGTATCTGTAGCCTCGTCCCCAGTGATTTGGACTGTGATAAGTCGCTGTGTACCATGGATACGTTCGAGCTTGTCCAGAGCTGCCCTGTTGCGGCCGGCTGCGATGACGGTGGCCCCCATGGCCAGGGCTGCGCCCACGGCGCCGCCACCAAAACACCCTGTAGCTGGGACCACAATCACCACCTCGCCCGGTTTCACGTCCACCTCGGCCAGCCCGCCAAAGGAAACCAGGTATGCGGTCAAAAGACAGAGATCACTGATGCTGTATCCCAGCTGCCCCAGGAGAACTTCCTCGTCCAGCAGATACAGGTTCTCCAGAGGGAACCGCGCGTATTCAGCATATGTTCCGTTGCGCCAGACTCCATCCATGAGTTTCTGCGCCGCAGGATGGATTGCTCCATGAACTCCGTACAGCATGGTGACGGCGGGATTATCGCGCGCGCGGATGGTTATGTCACAGAAGACAAGTTGACCCGGCCTGAGGGTGACACAGTCGGGTCCAACTTCATGGATGCGCGCGATGGCCGTGTTTCCCGGAGTCATGGGGATGGAGAGCGGGTATGGGCGCTGGTTCGTGATTACCTCCCTCATATAGGGGACAATATCAGCAGCCAGGATGCGGACGATGGCATCACCAGTCAACGCGACAGGGCGAGGGACATTTTCCACGACCAGGGGCTTGTCCCGGGCATAAATCACCGCCGCTTTGTGGGTTGACATATTTTTTCTTTGTTGGTCTGAGGGGCAGTTGCAAGGTAGTAGAGGATGAGCCGTTTCTTCTCTGCTGCCTTAACTGATCTGTAGAGCATTTTAATTCCGTGCTTTGTCCATCAATTTAAGGAAGACAGATCCACGGTAGGCGAGAATGGTATATCCGCAAACTCCGGTCACCCGGACCAACAAAGTCTGGTAACGACGAAGCAAGATACTACGGAATACCCACTTAAGCAACCCCATCTGTCATAGTGGACTCTGGTAAACGGTCAATGACACCAGACATAGCCCTGGACGGTGGATCCCAATCAATTCTGCCGATTTCAACACTTCTGCAACTGCTTGCGCGGCTATGAATTCATGGCGACGGCGATAAACTCTCACTGTTCCCCGTATCTCCGAGCCCCCTCCACCAACGCGCTTTGTATGTCATGGATCTGTGGTCAATGTATGACTTGCCATGCCGCACGCCGCACCCGGACTCGTACTGGATTAGGTCGTCAGATGGTTGACTGCTGATCTCATGGCAGATACTAAAGCCGTATGTGGTGGAAGTTTTGCCTCCCATGTACATAGACCAAGTAGAGTGGGTCCGGCTCTCACGGCGACTGATAACTTTAGAGAAAAGCATATTCATGAAGTGAACACCAAAGTGGCAGGGTGAATGTGCGAGCCCCACTATGTTTAAACATGGTGACCGGGCAGCTAAAATTATTAATGCTATCGCATTTAGCGTTCATACCTACTGTCCTAGTACTACTCGTAGCCCGGCCCTGTATTCATACTAGTTAGCTGTTGTTATGGGCGCGCTTCGGGGCCCTTGAGGGCAAGACTCGCGAGATGGGCACTACCATACAACGCAGGACTCGATGCTGTCAGATATGGATCACATTTAGTTTGTGAAGGTTATCACACCCAAGGTGCAGGGGACCATCAACGTCGTCTCTGCCCTATGCCCCACCAGGTCTTATCTGGAGTTCTTCATCATGCTCTCCTCGTCAGCGGAAGTCATTGCCAACCGCGGCCAGGCCAAATATGCTGCCACCAACACCTTCCTGGATGCTTTTGCGTGTCAACTGGTGGCCGAGGGTTACCAGGCCACTCCTATTAGTCTGCGCGGCATGCTCAGTGTGGGTTAGATCGCGGAGGGTCAGGCTTAGACTCTCCATCGCGCTCGCCTACAGGGCCCTCTTGGGAGACTTTCTACTCTCTATCCTGAAATATCGTATGACTTCTGCCTGGGGGGTGGCACAGAGCACCCAGACCTGCCACACGGAGGTCGGAATACGATCCGCGCGGAGCTTTCCGACGCCAGTCCATCCTTATGCCTGAGTTCATGACCCAACCGTTATTCTCTCCGCGTTGGGCCATTGCAGGCAGGTCCCAAATGGCCGGACAAGAGGGTCGAGGCGGCGGTAGACGTCGTGACGCGAGCCAACGTCGAGTAACTGGCGCGTATTATGACACTTTCCGTTCAGAAGATTGATCCGCAGCGGTCGCTGGGCTCGTACGAGGTGGATTCCCTGGTGACAGTGGACTTGGAGACCTGGTTCGAACGGGAAGTGGGGGTTTCCATAGGATCGGGGGAGCTGTTGGCGGAGCTGGCCATGACCCAGTTGGCCCGACAGGCTGCGGACGGATCGCGGTACTTGCCGGCGGAGCTCCGGAGAAGTTAGTAGAAGAAGGGGCTGTATCCAAGTAAGAAAGAAGCTCTTTTAAGGGTGCGATTGCATGATGGAGGCCCACAAGGACAAGCCAGGAAGAATGAGGCTTTGGACCATGGGGAAAGACGGTGGCGCCATCTCCAGGCATTCAGGCTTGAATGTTACTAATTAGAGAAATGTCAGGTGACTTTCGCCGAGGCAATGAAGGGCACTAGCCCCAAATAGGTAACACGACAACCAGCTGCTGTTTTGAGATCAAACGGAATTATCATCAATTATAAACCGAGGACATCAAGCCGCGCACCTACCAATATTATGGAACTGCTATGGCTCATCTCTTCTCAACTGGTGGGTGGTTAATGATTTACCCTTCATGCCCGGCTTATCTCTGTGATCAGGCCATTATGGGCCTCCTTATGGGGGTACCTAGACTAGGAGCAAGACACTTACGGAGTAGCTTGATGGAGATCCAGTAACTAGGCAGAATCGACTAGCTACATACAAGCAATGTCTCCGAAACGGAACTCAGAGCTCAGACCTTGAGATACAGTCACTCCTGCTCGCATGGCGGTGTGCTTTGATTTTGGCTGTCCTACATTCAGTGTCAAATGAACAAAGCATATTTGACCAGGTGAGGAGCAAAAAAAATATGCTCCAAGGCCGATGTCTTTGGGATTTGAAGCCATTGGCCAACATGGGTCTGCAGAAATATTAATATCAATATCATGACTGGGACTACGCCCGCCACTGGCCCTTCAATAGAATCGTGGATCTACCGCCCACATACCGACGCTTCCCCTCGGCACAGCTTAGACCAAGCCTCTCCTGCCAATAATTAAAAAGTGTTATCATGATTGTGGATCTTGAGCCAATTGTGGCACATGCTGGCTACACGAGTAAATGCTCGGTTCGCTTCGCAACATCTGAGGCCCATGTTTAGCCACTAGTAGTTCAGATCTTCCCTGTTTCTATAAGAGGTCCATCTTCCTGTGCACTAAGGCGTGCCAAACCTTTAGCCCTCTAGTCTTGTGACCCAGGTCTCAGTTTATGCTTCAGTTGTCTTGCCTGGCAGAACATGCCTGGTACAGAGATCAGTCATGACAGTGGTGCAACACCGTCCTTACGGTGTCCCTTCGACGAATTTGAACGGATTCTCGAGAAGAATCCCATTTTGGCGCCCACTGGCTGTACGGAAAAGTTTTGTCAAGCTGGACGCCTCATCCACAGCGCTGAGCCAAAGGTCGGGGAGAATCGTCCGCTCGAAGTGGTGAAGAATGAAGCGGTGGCATTTCTCTGGCAGTTGTGGCAGGAAGGCATCTACACCGAAGACCGTTACCTAGAAAGGCGCGCACAAGTGCTGGAGGAGATCGCTCGATCAACTAAAACCACAATTGTGTGGGATCAGGAATGCAAGCGAGTGGGCAAGACTTCGATCTGGACACAAAGCGCCGAAGAACTTCGCTATGGGCTGCGTCTGGCCTGGAAGAATTCGCGCAGGTGTATCATGCGCTCGCGGTATCAAGATCTGGGCCTCTGTGATCTGCGACATATTCACACTAGCGTCGGTATGGCCACAGCACTTCTCGAGGAAGTCACTAAGGCCTTCAATGATGGTCAGATTAAGCCGACGGGTAGGACATTCCAGTACAATTGTCACCGCAACTTATTCTGATTTGACCATCTTCTCAAGTGTTTGTGTTTCCGCCGAAGTCTGTGAATGGCAGTGGCCCAATGTTTTGGAACAAGCAAGTGCTGAACTTCGCTGGTGTACGTTATCCGTTCCAGTTGCCTCCCCTGACGACTTTGATGCTAATGTAAGCTGGATTCGCAACCCGCAGTACGAGCTAGAGGACGGCTCTATTGTAGGTGACCCCGGTAATGTCAAGTTAACCCAAGACATCATTGACTTGGGCTGGGCACCACCACGGCCCAAGACCCCATGGGATCTCCTGCCAATTGTTGCCATGGCGGAAAACGACGCACCGGCTCTTGTCGAGGTGCCGGACGACCTCCGTCGGCTGATTGCCATTCAACATCCGGACTACCCCGGCTTCAATGAACTCGGCCTCAGGTGGTACCAATTCCCAGCTCTAAGTCGACTGGGCTTTGATATAGGCGGAGTTCAGTACACAGCAACACCGTTTATTGGATGGTACTAGCATTTTCTTCATGATCTGTGATGGCTCTTGCTGACCCTGACAAGGTACATGGATGCGGAGATCGGAGTGAGGAACCTTGCCGACACGTTCCGTTTCGACGCCCTGCCCGAGGTGGTTAAAGCCATTGGGTTTGACATCAACGCTTATCGTGCAAAGCCTGAGTACGCAGACATACGAGAACTGGATGACCTTCCAGACTATGAGCAGCTGCGGTGGCGGAGCCGCGCCCAAGCCGAGCTGAATTACGCCGTGCGTTGGTCCTTCCTCCAGCATGGCGTTACTTGTGTGGGAACGTTGGCTGCATCCTCGGACTGGAGTCAATTCGACGATGAACATGCCGCGAAGAAGGGCTACCGACTGAATTCAGATCCCTATTGGCTGTCACCGCCGCAGGGTTCAATCATACCCGTGTGGCATCGCGGTGGTGCCCCGAATTACCAGCCGAAGCCCATGATTTGTCGGAATCGGTATGATCCTGTTAACTCCTGGCAGCGTCGGAAGGGTTCTACGGAGGCAGATCCAGCCCTTCTGGTGAGAAACGGGACTACCTGGGTCACCGAGGCTCTGACTACCTTTGCCCCTGATATTTCAGGCCGCAAGAGGCGTAAACTGACAGAATCTCCCAGCAAAGAGCAACCCTGCACGGTGCATATATCCTACTGCAGCCAGGGCACTACAGCACGGATCCTAGCTGAAAGGCTACACCGGCGACTAAAGCGCAGTGCTAGAGGCTTTCAAGTGAAGTTTAGCTCCTTGGATGCCTTGGACTTGACTCAGATCGAAACATTCGATACCATCCTCCTAATTGCCTCAACCACCGGCAGTGGTGCCTTTCCTGCCAATGGGGCTGATTTTGCGAAGGCCTTAGGACATTTCCGCCACACGCTCAAGGTTGAATTCTCGCGTGTCCGACTGTCCGTCTTTGGGGTTGGGGATAGTGCCTATCCCAATTTCAATGCCGCAGCAATCACCGCCTACGAATTTTTCCGCCACCTCGATATCCTACCCATAGCTGGTGGATTAATAAAGGCCGATGTGGCATCCGAAGCATTGCCTTTGCGCATGTTCAATCGCTGGTCGGACGCGGTCGAGTCCGCGTTAATGGGAGGGAAAGGCGAGCTGACTAGTGATCCGGAAGAGGCGTTCGTAACGCACGCTGAGATGCTCCGCAACTTTAGCGAAGCTACGGTTACCTCTAAGGCATCCAACCGGTTGCACGATGGACTGGTCCTCTTGACTCTTGACGGCATCGAATGTGCAGACATGAGCCACCTACGGCTTCTTCCCACGAATTCCTCATCTCATGTCTCCCGAGCCATCACAGCTTTGGGAATCCCAGATCCTCAGCAGCTTATACCGTTCTCTGGCGGAGGGCTCCAGCAGTGCAGCTACAAGGCCTTCTTCACCAACTTCGTTGACCTGGAGGATAGAAAAAAAATTCCAAGCTGGGCAGCTGAAGTTGACAAGCACGGCGAGCGCGAGAACGAAAGTATCCTTGAAAGACTGGAGCGATTATCAGACATTATAGAGCCGTCGCAGTTGACTCAAGGCTTCCGTCATGAAATCTGTCTTGCTTGCCCACTTATCAGGCCCCGAACCTATTCCGTGGCATCATCCTCGCGGTACATCGGCGAGAAGAAGGTAGAGCTCTTGATTAAGGCACAACAGCAAGGCCGATTCAGCGACATCTACCTCTCCGCCCTTCAGCCTGGCGGATCAGTGGTATATGCCGTCGTCCCTGCCTCCCCTGCATCTTTTCTTCTCGCTGTTCAAAAGCCCCTTGTTATCATCACCACTGGCTCTGGATTTGCACCAGTCCGCAGTCTACTTCAGCAGCGGATTCAGACTGCACGAGAATGGGGAAGACATAGCAGCATGACACACCCATTTCATACCGCTCCCATCAGTCTATTCGCGGGGTTTCGGCCTGTGGATGAGAACCTCTTTCACGCGGTCGTCCACCTAGCGCAGAGGCATCGTGTGTTAGATCTGGCCTGTCTTGTTCCTAGTAACTGCGAAAAGAAGCGTGTTCAAGGTTTTCTACTGGACAAACGTTACGAAATTCGGACGAAATTAGTGGAACAGGAAGGATATGTCTATGTCTGTGGGAGTGCCGCTATGGCTGAAGGGGTGCAAGCCAACCTCAGCAAGGTTTTGGTAGGAAATGTGAAGCAGATAATGGGCGAAAGATATGTAGAGGAAGCTTTCTGAGGTTATACCAAAAAGCATGTGTTATAACATTGTCCTACTAATGTGGTTCTGGACATGCTTAGAGCATCATACTCGGATGACGGTGGTGATGGTGATGATAACAATCAGCAATACCTACTGCTCCTGTACCACAGACAACTGTATTACAGACAACCAAACCAAACAAAGACAGTCCTCATGCGTCTTTCATTCCGCCAGGTCACATCACTGCGTGACAAGAGAAAGGTAGTCCTGTCACATAAAGCACAAATTGAGATGTCCACCAAAATCACCACAGCCACCACACTCTTCTGTGTAGTATTAGTAGTATGTGGTCATTGTGGTCTTTTCACTAGCAGCAAGCGCTTGTACAGTATGATTGTCATGGTCTCCGGTAGTTAGTACTTGATGATTGGTGTACTTACCATCAATCGTGATATCATGTCTACCAGGTGTGGAGAAATATATAATTAGTAGGCTCATCCCACTGCTCAACGAGGTGACAGCATGCTAGGAACTTTGTTTACCAGTAGTACTGGTGTGAGAGTCAATGATAAACCAGAAAATTGTGTGCCATCACTTTTTGTAACCCCCCTAAAGCCACAACCTGAGGATATATGCTGTTCCCCCCCCAATGCTAAAATTGAGAAAAATGACCACGTTATAGTTAAGTAGTTACTTATGGCAGTGCTTACATAACGTCATTACCCAGTTCTCTATCACGTGATATGCTAAGGCTGCAAAAGCAGCAATCTCACGTCAGCCCCCTCAGCTAACCCCAACGAATAAACAAGTTACCCACCTCATCTTTCAATCAATCGCATCTGGAGAGACATTCATTTCTTGGTCTAGTATCCTCGCGTAGTACTCCAACCGCATTTCTTTTACACACACATATATTTGTATAGACTCATGTGATATAGAAATCTTTACTTCATATAGCAGTCAACGGACCCTTTCCCGTTGCGACGGGAAGAATCCGAGCACTGGAGCCCCTGAAGGATCGTCGGGTGTTAGTCTGTATCTAGTGGCTCGGCTTCATCTTACCTCTTCGCACGGCCCCCACTGCCCCCCTCGAATGTGTCAAAGTCTCAACAGTACAGCATCCGAGGGTGCAAGGGATTGGTTCATTCGACACGCTGACATTCCTGGGCCGCCCCGCCCGCCGCCAACCGGCTGCCTCACCAATGTCTCTCTCGTCCCTCAGGCTTCTTCAGGTTGAACTCGCCAGGTTCTCCCTCATGCCTATCTGGGATGGCGTGCTCGCGTGTGTCCTTGATAGCCTGCCCAGTCCAGGCTTGAAAGACTCCTCACTTGCTCTTCAAAAGTTCAAAAGGGATCTTGGCCCCCACCAGCCTCGGCACGGCCCCCGTTCAATCGGCTTTCGTGTGGGCATGGCTGGCGCGCTGCTCAGCGACGGTCATTTCCCCAGATGAAAACTCCCTGCGTCCCGCCCATCTCCCTCTTATTTCTGTCGCTGAAATGTGAGATGGCACAGCTGCTGCTGCTGCTGCCGCCGCCGCCGACCTGAATTCAGTTCCCACCTGGGTAAAGAGAGAAAAAGCTGGGGGTGTTCGTCAGCATGTGGCTCTACCATTTGCTGCTGATCGTCCTTCTGGAACGACTAGTGTCCGGCACCACCTGCTACTTCCCTGAGGGCAATGTGGCCGAGGATTACACGCCTTGCTCCGACAATGGCGTCTCGTTCTGCTGCAATAAGAACTCGATTTGCTTGAGCAATGGCCTCTGCACCTCCATGCATCAACCGTATGTTCTCGGCCGCGGCGCCTGTACCTCCCAAAGTTGGAACGATACCTCGGTCTGCGACGATGTCTGTCATGGAAGTACGTGAGATACCTCACTCAGCCTAATAGTTTGGCTTCAACCAAGTCTACTGTTCTTTGCGACTGACCAGATACTCGCAAAATTACAGTCACCACCGCGTGGAGCAGCGCGTGCTCCCTCATCCTCTACAGTGACGTGAACGGAGTCAAGTTATATTGCCCCAACTCAATCATTTCCAACGGGACCGACTCCATAGGATGCGCCAATGGTGTCTCGCCCATTTCAGTGGGCACTGGCAAGCCCATTGCTGGCAAGGCATATCTGGCCAGCTACTCCCTCCTCCCCACTGCTAGCACCGCCACCAGCACCGCGACCGCTACCTCTACCACCGAGCCCAATACATCGTCTTCCTCCACAGCTGATGAAAGCTGCAGCAGCCCGACCGCGGCTAATAGCAACCAAGTCAGCCGGGCGACCGTGACCGCCGTTGGGGCCGGGGTCGGCGTCCCCCTTGGGCTGCTGGCGTTGGCATCGCTGGGCTATGGTTTGAACGAGAGGAGAAAGCGGCTTCAGCTCCAGAATGCCCCGCCAAACATGTACCAGATGCCGGCGGCCTCGTCAACGTCCTACCGATCGAGGAATATGGGCGCGAAGGAGCTGTCTGGCCATATACCGCTTCATGAGCTGGACACGTGATTGTGCATGGAGCGCACATACAAATGCCTGTTAGGGTTTGGTGGGAAGGGAAGACAGAAAGGGAGACTGGCAAACGGAATGTGGGTGGCTGTTTGAGGTCACAGCAACTATAAATGATGTTGCATGTATTTCCGTTACTCCTAAGAGTTCGTGTCTGCCCCCGGGCTCAACCTGCTGAACCTGTACATTTGGGCTCCGGCCAACAAAGAACCGTAAAGATAATAATAATACACTGCTTCCGAGCAGATATTGTACAGTACATAGCGTAAACTTGGCTGGATCTGCTAAAACTTCAAACCATAAAAGGTGCGACCCGGAGTGTAAGGAAGTGAGGTTAAGGGACACTTCTAAATCCAATGTGCACTCCTTGACCTCCCTCGGAGGCTGCTTCGATAGTTCTTGAATCAAAGCAGCAGCTGAGGAGTTATGCCGCCACAAAAATGCCGACATGAGAAGACGAATCCGCGACGAGTAATGCCAACTGAACGAGCATCAGACTCCTACAAAGTACCAGCCATACCCAAGACCCATGTCCGCACCCAAGAACGAAATATCAGGCTGAAACTTGAACATCACGCGAATGTCTACAGCAGCCAAGCCCTCCAACTAGTATATAATGATTGTGTCTAATGATTTATCATCCTCAACGTCAGTTAGATGACACTTCTGAGCGAGAGCTATTGAACGCATCTAACGAAATCGACTAAGGTACTTGCGAGGCCTGACCCTGAAACCAGGTTGGTAACACCGTCCTAATGCGGGCTTGACATATATTAGGAGATTCCAAGTATGCATACACAGTTGGAAGAAGAACGGAAAAAAGGGAAACCCTTGCCAACGAACCATGTTGCCCATACAGGAAACTATTATCAATTGGCCGGCATGCAATAACCGCATTTACTGTGTGAACAGATCACACACCTTAGCTGGCGATCCCAAAGCTTCGGGCCGTCGCCACACTGGCACTGCGGAATCGATGAGCACCTTTCAGTATTCAGAATGATATACAAGGGGGTTAACTAACACAAAAATATAACGTGGGCAATGTCAGGTACGGTAGGAGATGATCATGAAGTCCGACAACTTGCTCGGTCGACCTCAGAGCTGAGCTGGCCCAGGAAAGGTGTCGTATGGAGGGCCGTGTACAGTGTACGAACGGAATCATATCACCTACCGATCTTACGATCGGATGGCAGAGCGTTGCATCGGGCTCAAGCTGCTCTAGTGGGCTGTGATGATCTATCACCCTGTCGTTGTCTGGGAGGAAATCAAGGGGGATATCATAGTGTACGGAGGCCATGTTTGAGCTGTCAAGAGACAAATTGATGTATTGCTCGCATGCGATGCGGGAGGACTTTGATAAGCTGGTGGGGGGCATGGCTACTACTCTTACCAGTATTAATTTAGAGGTTCTTGTGGCTATGTCTCCCGCCACAGCTGCGATTGGGTAGCAGTCAGGCAGGAAGATGGGCCGATGCTCCAGCTGCGACACACATGATCTCAGCAAGGGAACGTATGAATCTCCTCAATAAGAAACAAGCTTAGCACCACCACCCCGACGCTCATAATGGCATCAGGGTCGAAACCTTCTCACAATGATTATACCGTGGCGTGGATATGCGCACTCCCAGTGGAGCTGGCGGCTGCCCAAGCCCTTCTGGATGAGACCCACGATCAACTTCCAGCCGGACCGACTGACGCGAATGTTTACACGCTAGGGTGCATATGTGGCCATAGAATTGTCCTCACCTGTTTACCGAGCGGTGTATGCGGGACAATCTCCGCAGCTGTTGTCGCGACCCAACTTTTGTCAACTTTCCATTCCATCCAATTTGCCCTCCTAGTCGGTATTGGCGGAGGCATACCGACTGAGAATGCAGATGTCCGTCTCGGTGACGTAGTAGTTGCAAGACCTACCGACAAGAACGGAGGAGTCGTACAATATGACTTTGGAAAAGCAACAGCCGCTGGCTTTCAGCGGACAGGTATCCTGAATAGCCCGCCCAGATCCCTCTTGCACGCGATCTCTAAAGTAGAAGCAAACCATTTGTCACATGACCGTCATTTTGTTTCTTTCCTGTCGGAATTTGAGAGGAGAAGGCCTGGACAGGGAGCCTTGGTCTTCTCGAGGCCGGCGACGGAAGACCATCTGTATCTTGCAGATTATCATCATGCTGGCATCCGGTCCGATGGATGTGCAAATTGCGATGAGTCGAAGACAGCTGCACGGCCTGTCCGATGCGATGACTCGCCAGTGGTTCATTATGGGTTGATTGCATCAGGGAACCAAGTGATCAAAGACAGTCACGTACGTGACAAGTTAGGGCAGGAGCTTGGGGCGTACTGTGTTGAGATGGAAGCAGCCGGTTTGATTAACCATCTTCCATGTTTGGTGATCCGTGGCATATGTGACTATGCTGATTCACACAAGAATGACGCATGGCATGGGTATGCTGCCGCTACAGCTGCAGCTTATGCGAAGGAACTACTTTCCGTGATGCCAGTTTCGCAACATCACATGGCCGCTTCGATAGATACTTCGCAGGGTGAGTGACGTAACTTGTTCCTGATAGAGCATCTGACCGCTGATAGTCAGAGGCTAGAAAATTACCACATTCCATTTCAACTGACTGACGTACCCACGATTAGCAACTTTGTCGGTCGGGATGTAAACCTCCGCAAGCTATGGGAGATCCTGCGACCGAATAAAGGAACGGCGCGCAAAGGTGTCGTGATACATGGAATGGGTGGGCTGGGCAAAACACAACTAGCAGCCCACTTCGCTCGCATGCACAAAGAGGACTTCACATCAATTTTCTGGCTGCATGGCAAGGATGAGACTACCTTGAATGCGTCATTTGCAGACCTCGTTGTCCGCGTCAGAGATATGGCTGCAACCGACAGTACGCACCACCATTCGATGCAAGAAGGGCCACCTTTATGTGCCAAAATAGCCCTAGAGTGGCTGTCGAAGAGAAATAACGCTGGGTGGCTTCTCATCTACGATGATGTAGAAGCTCCTGACATTAAAAGCTGGCTGCCGACTGCAGATCATGGCTCGATCATCATCACAACTCGATCACCGCAACTTGCTGAGGGCATGATCGCTCACCCACTCACGCCGCTTCCCTTTGAGGATGCCTTGCAACTACTCACTGGCGACCCAGGCCCTAGAGACAGCACATACGGCAGATGCCAAAACGACCCAAGCTCCGAAGCACTAGCTAAGCGTTTGCACGGATTACCTTTAGCACTGGCACTTGCAGGCTCCTATATCCACCGGACAGGTATGAGCTGCTCCAAATACTTGGAATACTACCAACGCGAATGGTGCAGCCTTCAGGCAGCCGCACAACCTCTTCGAGGGTACCCAAACGGAAATTTGCAGACGGCGTGGAGAGTTTCTTATGAGGCAGTTAAGCAAACCTCTCCACTAGCAGCACAGACCTTCTTTATTCTTTCGCTCTTTCATCACGAGGATATATGGTACGAGCTACTCCACAGCGCCATGCAATCCCGCATTATACCCTCAGGACTTTCAGAAGCTTTCTCAAACGAGATCCAATTTTCAAAGTTGATGCAGATATTGCTGGACTTCTCGCTGGTACAGCAGTCTTCGCGCCACGGGAGTTATTGCTTACACCCGGTCATACAAGATTGGTGTGAGAATGAGCTTCCGTCAGTCGATTCGGACCTCGATGAGCTTAGCAGAGAGACCTTTACCATTCTAGCAGTCACTGTGGGCTCGAACGCCCAATTTGCGCTAGACACGAACGACTGGTCGTTGCAACAGCGCCTTCTGTATCACGCAAACAGACTCATGCCATTGATACGAGACAAACCAAGAGAGAGTCGAGATTCTGAGGTCCTTTCGGCACTTCATGCGATGGGGCGCCTGTATTGGACACATGGAAGGCACGAACGAGCAGAGCAGATGTACCAAATGGCACTTGCTGGGAGAGAGATGGCGTTCGGCCCAGATCACAGAGTCACTCTCCAGACCGTCCATAACATGGGCTTGCTGTACCATGACCGGGGAGATTTGAGATCAGCCGAGCTGATGTTTGAGCGGGCGCTTTCCGGATATAAAAGCACCGAGATTGATTATTCTCAACTGGAGGCGCTGGATACCCTTCAGAGTCTTGCCAATATCTACCATGCTCAGGGGAGACTGGACGAGGCCGAAAGGCTGTGCTACAAGGCACTGACGGGATACCGAAGTTTATCGACAGCAAGCAGTCCATTGGTAATGGATGCAATGCATAACCTTGCAAACATCTACTTTTCTCAATACAGATTACCCGCAGCAGAAGAGCTATACGACGAAGCCTTGAGGGGCAAACAGAGATCTCTTGGTGAATATCATACGTCGACGCTAAACACAATCCATAACATAGGTGTTGTCTATTTTGAGCAAGGCCGAGGACAGGAAGCTGAAGAAATGTGTGAGAGAGCCCTTTCTGGAAGGATGACAGTATTTGGGAAAGATCACGCGTCTGTATTCGACACGCAATTCCAGCTAGGCACCATTTATCGCTCACAGGGTAAATTGAAAGCGGCCGAGGAAATGTACCAACGCGTTTTGTTGGGACGAGAGAAGGTTCTAGGCGCTTTTCACTCCTCAACTCTTCATACTATCCACCATATTGGAAATCTCTATTATATGCAAGGCAGGCTGCAGGAAGCGGAGCAGATGCAAGAACGAGCACTCAACGGCTTTGACCGCACCTTTGGTCATGACCACACCTATACACTTGAGTTGGCCCATACCCTGGCTGTTTTTTGTTGTCAGAGAGGGAAGCTCGATAAGGCAGAGTCATTATTTCAACGCGTTCTGTCCGCCAAAGAGCAGATCAATGGGAAGCGCAGTGGACCGGTGCTTGCTATTCTGAACAACTTAGCAAATGTATACCGAGAACAGGGCAGACTCCGGGAAGCAGAAGAGACCTATAAGTTGGTCTTGGCCGAATGGCGGAAACACAGCCCAACGCATTCTGCAGCACTCGGTGCTTTGAACAATCTAGGTGTCGTTCACCAAGACCGGGGCCAACTGAAAGAAGCGGAGAAAATGTTCAAAGAATGCCTAAACGGATATGAAAAAAGCCTCGGTCCTAACCATTTCCTTACACTGGACGCGGTATCTAACTTAGGAGACTTGTATCGGGATCAGCACAAAGCCCACAGGGCAAAGGAGCTTTACTTGCGCGCTCTTGCCAGCTACGAGGAGACCATGGGTCCCGACCATCCGAAAACACGAGAAACTGCAAACAAAGTCCGCTTGGTATCCAGTCATCCAAACTCGGCCAAGCGAAATTTTATTGCCAGACTCTGGAAAGGCAGTCGCTGGTGACATGACTTACAGTGTATTTCTCTTGTACGCCAAGTTTTTCCATATCTCTTTCAATCGGCGAATAAAACGTGTTGAAGAATTCCTACGTTCGGCGACACAGTGGTATTTGGTCCCGCTGACACGATATCTCTATCTCTAATCCAACACGCGGCTTTAGTATTGGTATGTCCGACGATTTTAAAGAAATTTGATTGTTCTATATTGCCCGCTAATCGGGATTAATTTTGCTATATACGGAACTCATATGCCTAGGGCAATCCTGGACAAGAACAGAATCGGGTGTTCTGCTCCGGAAAGGCAGCGGGGAAGATGTTCAAGAAAGCCTCACAATGCTTCCCCCAGAATGCTCAATAACTCTTCTGTGAAGGCCTCGGGATGAGTAGCGGATGGCAGATGCCCACCGGCTACCATCTTTACTGGTAAGCCTAACTCGGCACCTAAGGTGGTGATCGGTTCAGTGGTCAACGGAGTTGAGGACAGTTCACCCCTGATGAGAGTGATCTTTTCCCGATAGGCCTTCAACACAGGGAAGGGTACTTGGTATCCTAGCAGTACAGGTAACTCATATTCAAAGAGGAAGTTGAAACAGAGAATCGACAATGCAAGGAGCTTCTTATGAGTGGGCGAGTCACGAAGCAGCGCACGGTCTTCATCGCTCGTTACGACCGGGACAAATGTCTCCGAGGCGGCAGCTGGACCATGGGCCTTGTATATCGAAACGGTCGACAGGAACGCTGCAGAGACCTGCTCATAGCTCTGCTTTGGTAGGAGGCATGGTATGCACGGGTCATGAACAATTATCTCTCGGACCAAGTCTGGATGAGTGCAGAGCAGTTCAAGGGCATGCATGCAACCGAGTGAAATGCTGTAGATGAGGACTGGCTGGTCAGGCGAGAGGTGCTGTATGAGAGCGACTATGTCGTCGACGGTGTCCTTCAGCAGGGTTCGTTGCTGTTCTTTCGTCGGTGGAGAGAGGAAGCGACTGCGGAGGGAGCCTCGCCGATCGAAGCCGATAACAGTGTATTGGGACGATAGCCGCAAGGCGAGGTCTTCGTGGGTTAGGTGCGTTCCATGGGCCGCTGGGATGATGAGAAGCGGTGGACCGGAACCGCGGATTTCGTAGTAGATGGATACACCGGGTCGGCTCAGGACTCCGCTGGACATCGTTGCTGGCTTGCTTCAGTTCTTTTCTTCGGTTGTGCTGCTTCTTTGTCTCGCTTGAAGATGGGATGCGTTCCCGTGTTAAAATATGTAGATGTTGGTACCGCCCCAGGTTCCTTCAGTTGTAATCGGACCCTTAATTCGGAATCGGCATCGGACAAACTAATTGGAGCAGCAAGAATAATTGAAGCAGCCGAAGCCAGTCTCCCGGTATCTATTTATGGTATGATGGTGGTGCCGTGCACGTTTGTGTCTCGGCACAGATACGCCCAAAATTGGTCATTCGATCAAGTGCCAACTAGCCCGCCCCTTAAAGCCATATAGTCTGCAAATCAGGGCATCTGAAAAGCAATTATGGGTGAAGTTCGTATCTTCTACATCTGCAACTCGACTGGGTCTTCATGTGACGCCATGAAGAGGCGCAGAACTGATAGAAGTTTCTGGTGTGTCCTGTACGGTAGGCTGTATCTCCATCTCGGATCGACGCTTTTGGCGAAATAAGTCCAAGACAATTATAGATTTTGACTGGACTTCACGATACTTCCGTTGGCGCAGTTATTTCCTTTTTGGCATCACTGAAGATTTGCTGTAGGGGAATATTGCCTTATAATCAAATCGCTACGAATAGTGATGTTCAGCTATACCATAATGCCTGTTTACGAGGACACTCCTTACAGCACAGTCCTTGCCTGTGTGGCGGCGGAGTGTCATGATTAGAACGACCACCTGCTAGGGAGAGATCCCATAGAAGCCAAAACAACGGAGTGGATTGCAGGTCTATTTAATACCCTCATCTCACCGATATCTAAAAACAGCAGGCTGGCCTCCTATTTCCTCTAGTTCCATTATTGTATGAAGGCCCATTCTCACCTGCGGAGAGTAGGGAAAAGACTATTTCAACCAGAACCTGGAACAATACAGGGTCAAGAACCACGGTATTGCCACTGAGCAACTCCCGGTCACACGGATCTCCTTATCAATTAAGCAAAAGGGCGCCTCGCCTTGCTTTCGAAGGAGGGATGGAGACTCCAAGGCAGTGCTTGGTAGTGCCTATCTGTATCTGGAGTAGCGGGAGAGACTAGTTCTTCAGTCCACAGCATATATAGTTTTCAAAAATTGTATTTTATATGATGTTACTGTCTCATACAATTTGCTTTATAATTACAGAACAGACTGAACCGGCAACTTCCCAAACTCCAACTGCTGATCAACGGTGTCTCTCACTTGATCCTCCATTGACTTGAATTTGAGACCGAGCTCTTTCTCAGCTCTACTCGAGTCCACCGCGTAGTTCATCCAGTCCTCTGGAATCAACTTCCAGGCGACGGAGGGGTATTGTTGGCGGACGAACTCGTTCACCTCCTTCCATGACCGGCGTGGAGCAGAGAGTAAGAAGGACTGGAAGCCTCGTGTGGAATCACCCAATGCCTTGACGTGTGCCGCAGCGACATCATCAACATGAACCCCCAGGAATTGACCGTTGATGGGCTTTTCCGATGACATAAGAGTGAGTACCAGCGCTCCGCAACTTCCACTAACATTGTCATGTGGTTCTTGCACCGGATTTCGACCATAAACCCAAGATGGATGAAATGTTGTCACATCAAACGGTGGGTTGTGCTGTTGTACAAAGTCGATGATCGCTTGATAGGAGGCTACCTTACTCGCGCGGTACTGTACCATGGGGTCGAGCAAAGGCGAGATGCCCTGCTTCGCATCATAGGGAACTCCAGTATCCTCTATGGATGGTTAGTAGATGTCCGCCATTTGGAACCAAAGCAGAACTTTCTCACCAGTGATCACTGTCCCGTGCGGTTGACCAGCCAGGGGCATAAATGATGATATTGAAGATGTGACAACAACCTTCCTGATAGATGAATTTTTGCAAGCAGACTCCAATATGGATGTTGTTCCCTGCATTGCAGGAACCAAAAGGTCGCTGTTTCGATCTGGAAGTGGTGATGCAACATGTACAACATATTGCACGTCCTGAATTGCCTCATCAAAACACCCAGTGATCGTAATGTCGCTCACAACGATGAAGTCAATATTACTGAGATGGCTGCTGAATATGCGGCGCAACTTCTCAGCCTGTTCAGGGCGTCGGATAGACAGGCGTGCGCGGTATCCGGCCTGCAAAACCTCAAGGGCAACGCGAGACCCAATGAAGCCTGTTGCACCTGTGATCAAGACGGTAGGGGCCATTTTGCTGTCATTCAATTTGGAAAATGGCGGTCATATTGGCTTCACTGCCATTGTCATGCTTAAATAGGGCATCTAGCCACCACAGCTGAACAACGACATGCGTGTCGGAGTTTCTATTAACGGTGACTGAAGCTGTTTACACCTCACTGACGCACTCAAAGGAGATGGTAAGCTTGAGTAGCTCGCTAAGTACGTATGATCGTAGAAAATTCATGCAGTATGTATGCGTTGACTTACTAGCCCTTGGTTACGTTAGGCACGATCACGCAAGGTGATTGGAGTCAGCCGATGAAGGTTCAATCGGCATTACGCATCTTGTTGCATTTGGTAAAACACTTAACTTCAATGAGGACCGGTAGGAGATCTTCACTATAATCCGGCTACGGACTAACAATTATAAGGATCTAAATAGATACCATGGTGCACGAACAGGATTGACGGGCTTACTTTACTCCGTTGATGGACGTGGATAAACGCACTCCTCCGCGGCTCGGTGAGTCTAATTCTGCCGGAAATATATTTCAGCTCACCGGTTACACTACAGGATGCTAGGGCCCGACGATCACGCGGCTGATTCATATACTACGTAGTTTATTGTAACTATGGACTCCTTTATTATCAACACACTATCCCCACTAGTTCCATGTCATATAAACCAAAACTCCCCTGTCCGTCAATATGGATCAGCCCGTCGATACTATACTAAGTACCGTCTCAGATACTCCGTGCGAATCACAGGAAGTGCAATTTCATAGAGGAAAAGGAAAATCACATCGTGTCAATAACCTTGAAGAAAAGGAAACTGAAGTTTAGGAAATTCCCTCCATCCCATTCAAATAATCGATGTTATTTTTCCTTTTTCTTCTCCCTTTCCTCTTCCAATTGCTAATAAGCGTATCCCCTGTAGTTGATACTAGATCTTCCATGAGTTGGCAGGATAAGATTTGGTAGTTGTTCGTTAGACTTGCAAGAGATGCAGCTCTATACCAATCATTTATTATGGAATTTTCACATGCTACAATCAAGTAGCGTCCGCCTTACCTCGTTATTAGTGTCGATCTTAGAGGACATCTTGTCAATGTCCATGAGACCGACTCATTCTATATAATCCAGGTCGTCGAACACACCTAGGTAGACAACCCCTTCTATCTCAAACCCTAAACCCATTCCTCCAAGATGTCATATACACCGGCCCAACTAGAACAATACTTCGAACGCATCAAACTTCCTTATGACACTCGCGCTCGCTTGAGCGCTGGGAATAAAGACCTAGAGGTTCTGACCAGCCTTGTGCGCCATCATGTTGCAGGGGTTCCCTTTGAAAATACAGTGCTGCACTACACCCCCCAGCAGTATTTTGAGCTCAAACCTCAAGGTCTATACGAAAAGATTGTGCTTCGTCGTCAAGGTGGCACCTGCTTCCAGGTAGTCAGGATCCTAAGCGAAGTCCTGCTTTCCATCGGATACACGCTCTACAACAGCGCAGCGCGTCTGAACGCAGCAGCTAGCATTTCTCTTGCAACCACCGGCGATCCTAACCGACCGGTGGGTGCACAGTTCGGTGACTGGCAACACATGGTTCTTATTGTTCGTGTTGACGGACAAGATTACCTTGTCGATGGGGGGTTCGGTCCGAACTGCCCTGTCCAGCCGATTGCCCTGCGTGATGGGCAAGAATTTGTCGATGGGCGCTTGGGCCGTCGGGGGCGGCTGATCTACGACAATATCAACAAAGGCCGGGCGTACCATTTGAAATACTGGCGACTGCAGTTCCAAAGCATGAAATCACCGGCGGCGCCTTGGATGGACGTATATGCATTCAAGGAGTGCGAGTGGCTGGACACGGATTACGAGGCTGGTGCCCGAGCAGTTGGTACAAATAAACGCGTATGGTTTCGGTTCCGTGTCACTGCCTTCCAGTACGTGCTGGAGGAAGGGGTCCCCGCGGGCTGGGTTATGCTATGGCACAATATGCTTATACGGTTCTACGTTGGCAAGGTGCTGGAGAAGAGCTTCTTGGAATCTGAGGAGGAGAGGATCGAGGTGTTGGCGGATGTGTTCGGGATCGTGTTGACCGACGATCACAAGAAAGAAATTGCCGGAATGTTCTCGGCTTTGCCTCCAAAGAAAGCAAGGGCATCAAAGATGTAGATATTTGTATTACTGACAGTTAGGCCAGCCTTACGGAGGCCGCGACAATCTCGAGCTCTCTGTTATATTAGTTAAAAATTGGTTTGTTACGTGTTTATTTATATTTATTTTTGTATTGGGCAGTCAGGCCGCCAAAACGTCTGTTACTTAGTGGTCTTACCGATGGGTCTGCGTTAGGTATTTATTAATACTACCTCCACCGGCTGTCACTGGGTTTACACTCAGGTCCTCGCTCAGAACAACTGCATACATCACTGCCCTGAAGCGACTTGGAAATTTCTCTCTTGCAATGGTTCACATCCTCATGTGGCCTAGTACTAAGTGTCTGCCTAAACCAGCAATCCGATACTTCTCCCACAATAGAATTCCCGCAATACTCGTCGGGAGGCATGTTAGGCGTGGAAACTTGGGAGCAACGGCTTGACTGACTTTGATCCTATCTCCAGAAGCGCGCCCCTCCACGTGCCCGTTGTTACTAATCGGACAAGATGCCGTTGTATTCTAGTCTAGATAGCGAAGCGGGACAAAATCCTTGTTGATCATTCCGTCCAACTATTAGCCACCTCTTGTGCACCGGTACTTGTAGTGAGCATTCCCCTCCCTTGCGCCTTTCGCAAAGTCCAGAATCACCAAGTACAATGCTTCGGGAAAGCCGCAGGGCCCAACAACCTCAGCAGCGTCAGTGGCTCCCCAGTTGAAGTATCGCCACGCCAGGAATGAGAGAGCATGAATTTGAATCGAGCACCGGCGAGGATTGTAGGTTGCGAAGTTTTTCCAGGCACACGCGTGATGGGCAACCCTGTGGCACTCTAGTAGCACTGAGTATGAGTTTCAATTGGCCATCATAACCCCTCGTTATCATACTTCCAGTGTGTCAAGCACTATACAGAACTGTGAAGAACTGACTCTATGATGATCTTTTAAATTATGGTCTGCTTACTTCTACGTTATTAGTTCCCATATTGTTACATGTAAGGATATTGTTATAAAGCATCTATGCCCATAGTAATACTCGTGCATTCAAGTATTCGATGGGATACCTCAACTTAGATAGTAACCACCAAGCCTTGTCTCAGTCACACCACACTTTGCACCAATAGCTGTGTACCGACCATCCCCTGCTCGTTTCCTTCACCAGCCCAATACAACCTTCTTGGCTCCGCAGCGCTCTCATTAAACGCCCACAGCTGCTCTCCATTCAGCATAAGGAACCCATCATCCGAGACTCCCCAACCTGTAATCGTGTCGACAGCCTCAGGCTCTGACTGGAGTTGGATGATCCATGCAAATGAGGTCTGATCGGCGAGCACGGCCAGTGCCTGACCGTAGGGCCCGTATCCGATGGTGCCGTCTTCGTAGGGAGATACTATAATCATCCGTTGAAAAAACAATCAATAGGTGTACGTGATACGTATGTAGTTAGTACAGGGGGAAGCTTACACATTAATGTAGTTCCCATGGTACCGTCATAGATACCCCAACCATCGGTGGTCAGTATTGAATTATCAAGAGTGGAGCTTAGGGTAAAGTTGGCAGGAAATGAAGTGGTTGTGGACGCAGCTGAGGCAATGATGCCAGACATGGCTAGGAGGGTTTGGCTATATCTCATATTTATAGCTGGAAGGAAGGTGTTTGATTTTGTGATGGTATGTTGGGAAGTTTTATCGTTAGGTTATGAGAGCCAAAGAAGGCTTTATATATTATTTTTTCCGTAAATACTAGGTGTTGGTATTAGATGCCCCGTAGCTAAAAATAGCCGTTCAAATATGTAAGGCCGACCACCGGCCCATCTGGTGCCTTCACTAGCAAGTGATATGGGACGCCTAAGCTGACTGCTGATATTTCGATACTTGCTGCAAAGCGTCTGAGTTGATAATTAACAATTTCATATGTATAATCTATGGTACATGCATATAATTAGATTATCTACCTGTGTAAAAGCAGCTTCATCTTTGCCTTTTAATATGGATTCAAATAAGCGCGATACTCTTTCTCACTAATATTAGACTAGCTATTATATTTAGTTATCGGGAAAGGATCCCGACCGGCCTGGCGGTTAGTGAAAAAGGGAGAGAGAATCGAGAGAAAAGATAAGTATCTTTCATAATAATGATAAAGAGAATAATGATAAACAAGAAACAGAGAAAAGCTGATATGACCAGGTCAGATGATCTTCAAGACATTTCGTGGATCGTATTGCTCCCACCGTGTTTTCATGGAGGTTTTGTCATAACTTTGAGGTGGCACCCTCTCTATCTAACACTTGAACGCCTTGTGACCATTGCTGTACCATTCTGGCAAGGATATTTCCACGGTAGATGTCGACAACTAGAATACGATATGGTGGATGAAGATAAATATAATAGTTCTCCAAGTTTGCCACGGGTCAGGGTTATAACTTTAGTCGACATCATTGTCTGATCAAATATTTTCTCCAACATCTGGCCGGTCTCAGTGTATGGAGCCCCGCACGACGGTGTGTCAATACCAAGCTAGGCCCCAAAAGGGAGCGGACAGAAAGCGAACACCCGAGTGATCGGTGGATTCATTGGATTCGAATCTAGTCCTCGGTAAACGGACAACCCTTGGCGCTACTGTGCGGCCGTGTTTTCTTCTCCACCACTTCAGCTGTCAACTTCATCAGTCTGTCAGCTAACTCCATGTCGTTGGCCTTATCACTGCCCCTCTCCACGATTCGTGGTGGATTGATGAACTGTCCGCCCTCAGTCGCCATGGTCGCGGCATACATAGTGGACACGGCCCCCTGGAACTGAGTCTTCCGAAACGGTTTCAAGCCGGCGGAAAGGCCATACCCCAGCACGGGATGTGCCTCATGGATATGGACATTTGTTTGCGCCGTATCGACAACCCCCGGGTGAGTTGCATTAACAATGATATTAGGATGTGTGGGTCGGAGATGGGCGTGAAGCCACTTGGCGTACAGGAGCACAGCCAATTTGGACCGACCGTAAAGCTCTGTGGGGCTATATTCGCGGTTGAGCTCCTCGACGGACGCGAACTCGGTGTCTTTGGGCGTTTTTCCTTCTACATTAGAAGAGAGGTTGACAATACGAACGGTGTCTCCAGCGTCGGCGGTCTTCTTCAGCGTCGGGAGCAGGTGCGAAGTCAGCACGACGTGACCCATGTGGTTGGCTGCCATGTGCAGGTCAATCCCGTTGGTAGGAGCCAGCTGGCGCGTCATGACGCCTCGGGCGGCATTATTTATAAGGATGTCGATGCGGTCCGTCTGCGATGCAATCTCAGCTGCTACTTTAGCAGTCTGTTCCCAATCCGACAGGTCACATTGGATCCAGATGAAGCGGCGGCGTGTCTCGGCACCGAACTCCTCCTCAATAGCAGAGAGAGCATCATCGGCGACCTCCTTGCGGAGCGAAGTCACAAAAAGCTTAGAAATTCCTTTAGAGAGAAGGGTATGGGTAACGCCGAAGCCGATACCTATTGTGAATATTATAGTTAACTTCCGATTGCAGGCGTGCGGGGAGTTGGCGGGCTCGGGGAAAATGCAGCAAGTTACCTTCAGTACCTCCGGTGACCACCGCTACCTTACCGCTCAGGTCGGGCACATCATCTAGATCAAACTTCTCTTCTGCGAGTTTGTGAGAAGGGCCACCGAAGTTCTCGGCAATGGTGTTTTTGACAGCTTGCATCTTGGTCAACTGGGGTAACCTGAGGATATAGCTTCGTGATGAGATAAAAATACATGCATTTATTGTATGTTACAAGTCTTAAGAGGCCGTAGGAACAGTTGACTACTCATGATGAAGTCACCGACTGGCCATGCCGCCATGTGCGTCATCCTCATTCCGCCGCCTCTCATCATTAGGTTGCATCTACATTGAAATAAATCCTGATCAAGACTGAGATATGGAAGATGCTTGATGCGTTGAGAGTTTACCCGTAACATGGTGGTCAAGCATCATTGGCAACATTAACTCTTCAATATCAGAGAGGCCTGCCTTTCCCAGTCGATCGACAGGCTAACAGTTCCACTACGATCTGCACACCTCAAAGAGAGTCCTGACCCAAAGATGACAAAAGTGTCTGCAATGACCTAATGTCTATTCATCCTAAATAATTCGGGTCTGAGAGGAAGGGGACTTCATCCAATGGAAGTGCTCCATAAGTTGACTAAGGAGTGGACTACAGTAGTGACGTGTAGAGTCAGGTGACCACATATGCAGTTATGAATATGTTGGAATGTATTAATCCCCAGTAGATTACTAAGTAGCCATAATCACGTGATCTAAAAGTCTTTAGCTTAACTGCTTCTCTGAAGTACCTAGTTAGAAATAATCAAATATTTATGAGAATCCCATTATCAAACTAAAATATTATTTTAACAAATCATAAATACAAGATGTAGAATAATTATAACATATTGTAAATTATATTAACCATGCCAAGCTCTGTGCCGAAAGGGGCCAGTCTGGAGACTTTGATATGAGTATATATGTTAATCTTGTTTTTTTTATAAACAATATCAAATAAACATCTACTTCATACTCTTGGAAATACTTGAAAATTTTCTTGAATAATATATATTTCCCTTTTATAAATTTTTGATTGTCCCTTCTGAATTGCAAGGTTTCTGAAAGGGTTCCTGCCTGACTTAGAGAACAGCATGTCATAAACAATTGAGTATACATAGTGACTGGGCGAAATGTAAGCTGAAGATCTTTGGTCTGGCTTTATAGGAGCCTTGACCAAGCTAAAAATGGGTTATAGGTCTTGTGGATCTGGGATCATTCAAATTATCTCTACACTAATATAGCACCTTTTTTCCTTGCCCTGGAGGCCTTTTCTTACAACAAGAGACTCCCAGTGTGAGAGTAGTCATGTCATACATTATACTGAAGTGTCCAGAGAAATTATTTTGAGTAAAATTGGAGGATCTCTGGACATAGACGCTTCATGATAATGTGCACGTCGCATTTGATGTGCCAGGATGGAGTTGCCTATTGATTTGACCCATACCAATGGGCCGTATTATGACTAAAACATTACTACCATGTTATGAGTGATTTTAATCCCCATGTGCAACCCTTATAGTACACAATACCAACAGTTACTAACTAAACGGCTGACTGCCATATCTCATCCCCCTGGGCCCAAAGCTCCGCAGGTGGCATAGCTGTAAGCATAGGATAAAGCTCTGGAATCACCGAGACCACAGCAACTCAAAAATATCCAGGATATTCCCCCTCTTTCACTTCGCTCGAATGATTAAAATTCATATCCAACGCGTACACCCATGGCAGGTCACTATTCATGGACTTCACAGCAGCAGTATCAGCAACTAGACACAGGCCCACATCTAATCCCGGAGCCAAGCCCTCAGTTTCTATGTACCCATAGTATGATCTGGCTCGTATCAGTGATCTGCATTGACAACATTGAAATCCCAAGGATGATCTTACTGTTGTATCTGCTGATGAGTAGCACCATGTAATTCCAGATCCTCAAAGCGAGGCATCAAGCATTTATCCATGATCTTCTGACCGCCAGTGGACCTTTCTATCAATAAATCTATTCGGCGATCATACTCTGCATCCCATTTATCCCAGCGTTCATCATCTGAGTAGTCTGTTCAGAAAGTAATGAAACCAAAGTCATCGAATCCATTCTCTTCCACGACCTGGACAACTGCATCGTCGGCTATTTTGAATATATCTTTTGAAGGGACAGGGGGCATACCCTTTCTCTCGCGACTTAATCTTTGTTCCTTAAACAACTTCGCAAATGAGATAATTGTGCGAGCTCGAACATTGTCGAAAGGGATCAAATCTATATCAATTTGGCGGATTTGCTGAGTTGGTGAGAGGGGGTTAGTACAAACTAATGGAGGGTTCCATGGAAGTTCAAAAGTAGATCATCTTACCTCCTCCGGTAATTGACACAAGTCATCCTCGGTTATGGTTTAAAGTCGCTCTTCCGTCCATCCGGGTGGTAAAGAAGACATCTTCAGCGGATGAACTTACAGCCTTTGATATGTAATATCTTGGGTTGGAGAGGGAAAAGCTGTGACAAGGCATATAGATGAGGAAAAGAAGGAAATTGGAGGGGAAAGAATTACAATATTGAACAAAGGCGGGGACGGGGCTCGGTAAGGCCCACTTAGTAAAAAAGCTTGTAACTTTTGAAAGCATAGCATAACAATGGCAACCTAGGCTCCTGATTATTTCATGAAAAATAGCCTAGGGCTGGTAGCGAGGCATACACTTGTAGTAATATTAGAGCCTGATAGTAAAAAGTAATCTCCGATCAGCCCGACTGACCTTTTCAGATCCAATTTTCTTTCCTGGATTCGGTTCTGCAGACTTGGTTTTTAGTTTCATTTCTCAACTTCTTCCACTACAGTTCAAGCTGCCTAGTAAGCAGTGAAGCAGTTCCTGCATAGCCACGGGTTCTATGAGTGACTGAGACGGTGTATGAGTATCTTCAAATCCAAATTCCCGCGCCCCGGGGGAGTAGTGTTTCAAAGCACCGTACCGTTATCAACATATTGTGGAAGTGACGAAATCAGGAAAGCAGTTTGTAGTCGTACAGACCCATGGGAGTATTCTTGAAGCATAGAGGGCTCCATTGTATTAGTTATGGTCGCAGGCTTGGCAGCACTCTCATCCGGTCTTCTGTTCTACAGCCTTTAGGGCTAATAACCCGGACTGTCGCTTCCGCTTTGGTAAACCAGATTTTCTTAATAATTAGAGAGGTGGCATTGGTGATGAAAACAGATCTAGGAGAATTTCATATCATTGACTGGGGGATTCGGCTGTCTAGAATCAATTACTCCGAATTATGTGTAAGCATCCGCAGACCCCAATAATAGCATTAGTTGATTTTCTAGATTCCACCGATATCTGGCTTATCCGCGGTAATCATCAGACCTTATCATACGATAAGAACAGGTTACTCCAGGTCCGCTGCTAACCAATCTACTGCTGATAACACCACGAGTCTAGAAGCTTCCTATATATATGTAACCTCACCTCAGCCATTTATTATACAAACTGGACCATCACAATTACCGCCATGATGACCAGCACATCCAACCCGCCAAGCAACTTCTCCATTTCCACCGCCCGCCTTAATATCACCTACTTCAACCCAACCAGCCCATCCCACAGCGCCTTCCTCGCTTACCTCTGGAACACCCCCGACTTCATCACAACCAACAGCAAAACCTCCATCACAGACAGCCATTCCGCCCAGACCTTTATTCAGACCCGCATCATTCCCCAATACACCCGCAAAGGATTCGGCCTCCTCCTCGTCAACCTCAAGCCCACCTCCAACTCACCTCATCAAAACATCCTCCCAATTAGCACCATAAGCCTCATACAAGGCGAACCACCAAATTGCTACTCTGCACCAGATATTGGATTCGCTATTCTTCCAGAGCATCAAGGGCGAGGATACGCGACTGAGGCAGCGAAGGCGGCCATTTCGTACATGCAACGCGAGTGGAACGTGCAGGGGGTGTTTGGGTTTTGTGCGCCGGGCAATATGCGTAGTCGGAGGGTGTTGGAGAAGAGTGGGTTGGAGTTCCGGGGGGTGAGGAAGTTGAGGGTGTTTGGGGGGAGGGAGAGTGCAGTATTTGCTTTGGTGGGAATGGAGGAGGATTTGGGGGTTTATGGGATTGATACATAGATAGATATATTGAAGGATGGATGCGGATTAGCTCCTAGGGGTCTAGATAGCGGCATACCGGAATCATTAGGGTTTTATTCTGCTTCTTGGTTATGATCTGTCCAAGTGGCTCAGTAGTAGTGCTAGCGTGATGTTACTGAGCGCCAAGCTTTCTGCGAGAGCGTCTTCTTTGCCCGTTCAGAACGGGCCTTTGCCTTTCTTTGTACTCGTGATGGATCTCCCTCGGAGAAATCGTAACAGGCCCGCCTTCGTAAGCTTATGCTTTCAAGAAATACTTCATATTCTCAATTGTATATGTGCACAATTCTTCCGACGTATTGGAAATCTCCAAGTGACCGCCTGTCCGGCCCGACTGCAATATATAGACCAAATTGAGGTGAGTTTAGACCACAACCTTTGTTTTTGTTGGCCCTGATTCAACATCATCCAAATGGATATATCTAAGGGCAAACCTGTCGCGCGTTACGGCGTTCATTATGTATCGGGATTATCTTTATGCAACGGCAAATTTCCTGCCACGATGCCGGAGTCTTCGCATCGGTCCCAACCGTCGAATTGAGGGCTTGGATCACCGCAGATTGAAACAAATGCCTGTCTCTTTCTCGCGCAGCCTCCTTCGATGTCACCCAAAGTAGTCTCACATATGGTAAAATTTTACATGAATTGGCCCTTCCTGGTTGTGGGCAAACCTTGGATACTTTGCAGAGGACGCATCGATTTCATCTATAAGTAGGTTGGACTGATTGCTGTCAACTATCAGCAAGAAACTTGACATGACTGACAAAGTCAGTAGATCAGTTCCGTCTATAGCTCATCAAAGGTATAAAAGCTACGAACACGGCGGCGATCATGCCTTTCTGGCAGGATTATGAGCAGAATTCGTTGTGCATTTGTGTGACTTTCAGTTCCTTGCAAATTGGGTGAGTAACCAAGGGAATCGAAGTATGTCAGCACTCACGCCGTTTCCAGAGGTTCGATAAGGGCTCGCAGTTACGAATGCATCTATCTGCTTAGTAACACAGCCTGGGGTAACTAACTGAGACCCAAATGAAGAGGGAGGGGTTATCTGCTGAAACTATTTTCCTGCGGTCATTGGTTGTCATCTCACTGTGGGCTTGGGATATCAAGGGCCCTTGCTTGTCTACATGATTCTCAGAGGTCAAAGCAAGTTGTACTTAACGCAAGGGATCCAGCACACGAAGCCGCAATTGCCGCTCCATCGCCTGCGCCATGTCGTCGTATGCAACGTCCGTCCCAGGCAGGGGGATCGACAAATGTATTCCTGACCTGGCGGTGAACGATCCTTGTAGTGCCTCTTGATGCGAACAACCATCTAGCTCCAGAGAATCGGCCGTAGATGGAGAAGTACGGATACGGCAGTTACACTACGTAAGAGAATGTATTCCACAGATAGCCACGTCCAATTGACAAATGCCTACCAACGTTATTCTTCCTGGCTGCTGAGGCGAACTGCCGGGGAGGTACTTGCCACAACATCAATCTGACGGAAAACCCTTTACGCAATATTAACTGCAGTTACAAGAACACACTCAATAGTGGTCGCATTCCAAGCGCCTTTCCATATGAGCGATTACTAGTCATCATCATTCGCTCGCTGAGTAGAAACATCTAAGAAATTCTCATTTTGTGCCCTCTCTTAGTACAATATTTAGAGGTACAACACGATTTGGCTCATCATGTCTCAACTTTGCCCCTCTCCATAACGGAACTGTTTATATTATACACGTCACTACCTCTAAACAGTTGACGGAGATCAGTATAGGACCGGGGTAAGTGCTTTAATACCTTTCGCGAGCCTGCTCAGCTTGTCTTAATGGCCCCGGTATTGTTTCAATCAGCAGCGTGCGGTTCCTTGCTAAGATACTTGTTCCCTGTTGTTTTTACCATACCTTTTGTGGTACGTCTACTCATCGTCCTTGGGCCAGTCACGCCTGTAACGTTATAATACATTCTTACACTCCTACATGAGAAATGTGGCAGCTACGTGGGTACCTTTTGAAAATAAATGTGACCAAGTGAGTCGCTGCATGGCTGCCCAACGTAAGTGGCTAGACCGCTGTTCCAGCCCATGGGCATATCCCTTGCACAAACCTTTCAGATTAGCCAGGCTGGTAATGAAATTGTGCCTAATATATAGGGAGGCATCTCCTTCACAGGGTATCAAGCTTCTCATCTCTTCATATGTGGTAGAAGCTTCTCTCCGGCATTATTTGTGTTTGCCATCACAATGACAACTGTATCTATCGGCCAGGCTGAGGATGGAAGCCACCCAGCCTGGCCACAGGATGAAGTTACGAGTTCTTTAGTTGGACGAGTGGGGTTTTCGCCAATCTATTCTGGGGCCGATTTATCTTCTTTTTCATTTGAGGGCTATTGCGATCCAGTCGTGATAGGGGGTAGACAAGGAGAAATCCTGGCTCCTTCCTCTACGATAGTGACCGATACTGTGATCGGGGACAGCAGAGAACCTTCTTGGCCGGAGCAATACCTAGACCTCATCGCACAGAACAACCTACTGTGGCTGGAAGACTTCGCTGAAAACCAGTCACATTCTGCTAATATCGTGGAAGCCTCGACTCTGACCACAGTGGCGTTAGACTCACAGGCACGCTTACTTCCAAACCAATTTCTATAGAGACGTGGCTTGGATGGATGCCTGAGTGATAAAGGTTACGAGAGTACCACCGCAGCTGTGGTTGTTGGACGGGCTGATTCAGGAACATATGTTTCGAGGTTTCAGGAAGTTCCAATGCCTTCTTATGATTATGAGATTTCACCAGAGGATGGGTTATATCACTGCCAAGATCGTGCATGCGTGGCCCAGACTGGCTTTTCAAGAAAATGTGATTTGCAGTAAGCTAAGCCACCACGTTCTTAATTTATCCCGCTGACTCTTCACAGAAAGCATATGCGCAGTCACATCAAGCCAGTTAAATGCCCCATATGTACGGTAACCAAGGCTCAGCAGGTTCATATGCGCCGACATATTGAGGTGCATCACGGTGGATGGGCTCGGCAATGGTGGCAAGTGGGAGTTGTGTGTGAAATATGTGGTAAATCATTCACAAGGAAAGACAATCTTCGGAGACACCACCGAAGTCAGCATGAAGATATTAGTAGCCTTTCTGTATCTGATTAAGGAATTTCGTCTGTGGGGCCTATGCTCTTTCGAGTCTATGAAGGTTCTTGAATGGTATTTTAGATCCCCTCCAAGCTAACGTCTGGTGACAAGCAGAAGTACACTCGCCTCCATCTTGTAAGCAAGGTTCAAATGAGAATCTACGATTGCGTATCTCAATGAGAGCAGAAAAGGTATGAAATTCCAAGAAGTAAGAAAAAGAAATTAAATCAACTTGCGAGTTAAAACTTTGAATACCATTTTAGATCTTGAGAGATACCCCACCACAGTCTGCATCCGAGTCTTCATCCGACACGTATGTCCTGAGCTTATTTGTCTCAAGGACCTTCGCCGTGCTACGTTTAGCTGCCTCCTTGTCCAAACAGCCATCAGCAGATGAATATCGGAACGTATTTCCCCGAAGCTCCTCCAAATCTATGTGAGACCACCGGTCATTTGAAATTGCTGTCTGGGAATCAGGATGCCAGGGACTTGGTGAGGTGACGACTGATCAAAGATTTGAGCAATCACAGCCCGCCGAAGCTCACTTGTCATCTCATTGAGGACCTTTACCTGCAAATCGTATTCTGGATCCCCCATCGTGGGTCTTTTGACTAATTGTGGACTCCAATTAACCCAGACTTTGCGGTGAGATTCAGGGACGACCATTCGAGCCGGATGGTGCCTGAAGTATAGCTCACAACATAGACAGGCCGGCTTGCTACAAGCAATGTAACGGTCATTCCCCACGAAAGATAGATTTTGCCTGAAGAAATGGTCTAGAGCCTGCACTTCTGCATGCACCTGCGCCGTGCACTTGTCATACTGTACCAGGAAATCCTGAAAGGTGCGAGATTGAGACCGAGAATTCATGGAAAGCAAAAGATTCTTTATCTGAAGCTTTTCCGGGTCATCTTTCTTCAACATCCTATTGAGGACACCGTCAAGCGTGGTGAGATTGTCGGGCACTGGCCGAGGCACGGAAGGCACATAAGGTATAGCCACCACCTGATGCGAGTCAAGGATGTGAGACAAATGGCAGGCATCCTCAACCAGCTGCGACGGTGCCCGGATGTGATCTGCCAGTCGCCCTAGATAATGGATAACTAACGCAAAAGGCGACCGTTTGTCTCCAGGACCCATTAACCTTTCTTCGTCTTGAGCTTTTAGTCCGATTAACCTGGCGGATACGGACTTTATTTGGACATAGGCATAATGACAGAGTGCCAGACAATCATCTTGTTCGAGAATGAGATCAAGCCAGTCTTTTATCACCTGATCTACTGAACCAGTTAGCTTGTCATCTTGTAAGACTCTGCAATCTGGCCGTTACGAACCTTGTTCCGTTCTCACAGATCCCGGTATGCAATAACACTGTTTGATCGCTTGAAACAAGCACTGACGCTCCTTTTTTACTCGGCTAGTCGCGAAGTTAAGACAGAAACTGATAAAGTCTGCCTTAGTTTGTCCTTCATCGAAGTCCCCAGTGATTGATGTAGCTGGCTTCAGGTGGCCGAGAGCATTCTTCGCGAATTCGACGATTTTGTCACCAGATGCGTTGGATGCAATCCAGAAGTTGTAACATGTTTCGCTGTCTTCAAGCCCAATGGCAGTGCAGGAACTACCCCCTTTGGTAAAGTCACAAACATAGGCGAGGTTACGTAGGAATTTACGTCGCCGTGCTTGCTCCAAACTATGATCCAGTGGGCCGATTGTATGCCGCCCACGGGTCTGTCCTAATACACGCAAAAGAAACAAAGGCTCGTAAAATCGACCAAGAAGTCTGTTATACCTGCCTAGTCTCGGGCGCCCCACACGGACTGAGTTGATAGGCAATTGTTTGTAGGTGGTATTGTTCCGGACTTTCAATGAATCCTTTAAGGATGGCATTTTGGAATGAATTATAAGAAAAGTGCACTCATTATAGACCAGATTCAGAGTGGGAGACTATTGAGAAGGAAGAGTAATTCACGGGCATTTAGACGACCCATAAAGATTTATATACAGGATACATATTGGTAGATAATCAGCCACGGGGTGGGGGGAGGAAGACCATATGCAGAAGGGAGATAGGAGGAAGCCAATGCGGGTGAAAGGCAATGCAGGAGGAAGACGATACAGGAGGAAGACGATGCAGGAGGAAGACAATGCAGGAGGAAGACGATGCAGGAGGAAGACAATGCAGGAGGAAGACAATGCAGGAAGCTCAAGCACACTTGTGGTATTGAGATTGGGTAGCCAAGACCTTTCGCCGTAGAATGAGGGAGGCACCTACGTGAGTAAAAGTGAAGATGTCAAAGCCTGTACTTGCGAAGCATACGAATTTGGTCAGTAGACTGTGAGGGATACAGTTGCCTCTCATTCAAGGCAGGGGCAGATCAACGGCATGGGTAATGGGCTCACCTTGGCTTCTGCAAATTATACGAGGCAGCCTACCACTCCATATTTCTGGGATGGATAAAAGGCACTAGGGTGGGCCGTACATTCGGTCTATAGTACTCATTGAAGCAACCTTTCACTTGCAAAGTTGTTGAATCGTCCTTCAATACTACACTCCATCGAGAATGTCCGGTTTGTCCGCTGCACCCCGTCTGTCGACCAGGGACACTATATACCTGCTTCATCACGTCTTCCTGCCTCCCAAACTGCCACAGGAAGATGATTATAACGCTTCACAAGAAAGTGCTCTGCTCGATAGCGTTATCGATGCCCTTGCTCTGTTTCAGGGATATAGTCATGGGCAGGAAAGTGAGATTGTTGACAGTGTCAAAGTGATGCTCACTCGTTTGAGAGCGACGCGCGATTGTCATGGGGACGTGAATCACGTCGAGCTTCGAAAGGCTTTAGAAGAATTGGAGAATTCAGGTATGGCCACCTATAACTTAGCTGACATCCGGATGACACTGACACGTGTTGCGTAGGAGGTGCTCTACCTGTCCATGTTCGTTGCCAGAATGCTGCGGTCTTAATGACCAGGCACAGCGATTCAATACATGTCGAGACGTTTGAACTATCACCTCGGAACGAAGCCGTCAACACTACGGTGGGTCGACTCCAACGCCAATTTCCTGGGCCAACCTTTGCTTTGGATCGAGCCGTCTTCAATGAGCCAAATATGCAAACTACCATTGCGCACGCCCTGGAGAGCATGAGTCGCCAGCCTGCCCCGGGAACCAAGCCAAAAGTAAAGAAGGCGCGGCAGGAGCACGACGAGAATCGGGATACAACCGATCCGATGCTGGTTACAGAGTTGTTCACAACATTCCTGCGCCCACAATGCAAAATTGTGAACAGCTTGCAGGTCTGTAAGAACACAAGGGAAGAGGTCCTGTGGCTCAACAGTCTGCAGCCTTGGAGACGGTCCGCCCTCTGGCTCCAGATTCGAGTTACGATCCAATTGGTCATTCGGAGGCTCTTCCAGCGCAAAGAAATCTCAGCTGACCTTTATAAAGAATTCATGATCTTTTACATGAGTTCCATTCTCCGCCGCTGTCCCAGGAGCATAAGCAGTGAGCACCGGTATATCATGATTTCCAAAATCGTGCGCCGGTTACGAAAGCTTGATCCGGCGGATGATCATGCTTGGCTTCCGTTTGTCCATTGTTCTCTTCAACAAGCGAATGATGTCCTCGAAGAAAGATGGAGCAGCATCCTCGCCCGTAACGCCTGTCGACCTGACATGTCTTCCATGGCTCGACTCAACTTTCAAGATGACACTAATTGCTCACTGCCCGGTCTTGATGAGTGGCTTCAGAGCATCAGAACCCGCCAAGACTCCTCAGTGCCGCCAAATGCCCACCCACAGTCTGGATTCTTGAAATTCGAGCCTGCAGAGCTCCCATCGCTCTTCCGACTGACTGACCCCGACTATCACATCTACAATCTCGCTGCCTTCGAAGCTTGGGTTGACTTGAATCTTCAATCCTGGACTGAGACACATATTAGCCATGAAAACACCTGCGAACGACTAAGCAGATTAGTCAATGCGTATTATAGTATTGCATCCAAATCGTACGCTGCTAATCCCGAGGCGTTGTCAGCCATGCTCCTCACCATCCTGGAGCTCTGGATAGCCTGCGACAGATCCGCCGTCCATATTCATCCGCTGCTTCGCCAGTATAAGACTTGTATTCCGATACATCTCTTCCAGTCTCTCCTGTTACCTCGGCAATCCCAGCTTACCAGGTTGGCACACGCGGAAAGCTACATGCGTCAGCGCCACCAGGGCGTCCAGTACAGAGGTTCCAAAATTCTAACCGACTTTGGAACCCCTTCCTCCTTTTCCGTGCGCTACTTCAAGCAGTCCCCTGAACACCAACATTTACTTGCCACTATTGAACAAAGAGCTGAATCCGAGAAGGCGGACAAAGTTATGGAGCTGCACCGAAAGCATGAGCAGTACAGGGACTTGTGTGCTCGCCGTGATGAGATTGAATGCACTTACTACGATGAGAGACTCGACAACCGGTTCCACTTTACAGAGCGTCGTCATAGCCCCTCGTGCCAAAGATGTAGGTTGGACCGTGCTGCGAAAGAGATCACAATTAATGTTCATGAATGGCCTTTGTCTTCCAATCCCTTGGAAGCAGAATCCACGGTCTTCGAGTTAAAACTGCCCCGACCATTTGCATTCTGGCGTGATCTCACTGCCTTCATTGTGCTTGAAATTTTGGGAATCACGTATGCTTCGAAAGAAACGCCTAGAGCGGAGTACCGACCAGGCAGCTACAGTGGTCTTTCCATGTTCTTCACCGCGGTCGTTGATTCCCCACGGATTGGCCTTCTTTCCCAAGTTAAACCACACCAAGGAACTCACAGGCGAAAGAAACACATTATCAATGTATCACAGAGCGATGTTTGTCTTGCGAACGGTTTGCACTTCAAATACTTCGACAATGCCCACCGCTGCTTCACTGACGACCTGGTCCAAACACATGCGATGGCAACGGCATGCACGTACAAGTTACCGCCATCCAGCTCATCTCTGCAGCCGTTTCTCTTCCGCCCAGCGGAGGCACCTGACGGCCCGTCACCCAATACGGTCATTGCATCGCAGCATACCTGCCCCGAGGACATGTCACTGGGGGAGTATAAGGCACTCTGCTCGATGCCATTGGGCTTCCATATCCAGTGGCAGAACATCCTTCGGCAGCTCGCCGCACCTTCCGTGGTGTTCAATAAGGTCGAAACGTGCCTTTTTACCCTGCAGATCATGCACCAGGCAGGGCCGCCATCGCTCATGGATCCGATCCTGCGCGAAGGCCATCATGTTCTGAACGATGATTCGTTCGCAGCGCCTTTACTGCGAGAGATCCAGAAGACAGCGGCAGCAATCGAACAAAACTGGCAATCCGCAGAGGGGCTGAGCGTGTTGATCGCTCTCACCCAGAAGGTGTTGGCCTGCTCCCCATCGGTCCACATTCAGAACGAATGCATAGAGCAGCTGGATGGCCTCCGGAAGATATCTTTCAATTGGGTGATGACTGTTGGGGAGGAGGCCGGTGCTACGGACAGCAATGATCACAGGAACGATCTGATTGCCTCCGCCGCTTATCTCGCGTTGATGTGCGTGGGCACGTTTGATTGCGAGAACAGCCACTTGGAGCGAATACTCCGGAACGATCTGGATGCGTCCGTTTTCATCCAATGCAGTATGGTCATTCATGACCGAAAAGGCCTTCTAAACAGGGTATCCAGCTGTTTACTGCCAATTCTCTACTATCGATGGCAGAACATAGCCTTTCGGGGACACCACATTCTTGTGAACAACACTATCCATGGCCGCAGGACCGCTCTCGACCGAGCAATCCAGCGGACTTGGGCCGCGTACCGACCAGGATCACCGTGGACAGCAGCCTCGAGTGGCACTCAATCTTGCCTGCACGCCCATATTATGGGTGAATCGGGTAGTGCCAGCGGCGTCGGGGTGTACGTTAACCTTCTCACTGGTCAGCTGCTTATCAATGGTCGTCCCCTGGCGCGGTTGCCCTCAGAGTTCGAGCGCCATGAAACATATCAATCCCTCTTTGGGCATTCCTTAGTGGAAGTGATGCCCAGCGACCTTTCCAGCTTGGAATACTCCGCCCAGAGACTGCATATGGGCCAGAAGATCTACTTGGGAAAACAGACGATCCCCGAGCAGAGTGGATTCGATCTACGCATTCGAGCCGTGGATGGGGGTAGAGTCTGGGAATTCGTACCCCCGAGACTTCTCACGGCTGCTTTACCGGATGCCTTCGTTGAGGGATACGCCCATTGGTACGAGACAAATCGCGAGCATATCGAGTTTCGTCCTATTAACGAGCCATGGAAGCCATCACCTGCCTCTCACTGGCGATTGCAGCGCACCCAGCCGGGAAATAACTGGCAGCTCACTCAGGGAACTATGTCGTTGATTAGTATGGGAAGCGAGACAGCGAGATCATTGTTTGATATCTTCCAACCCATCGAAAAGGCCACCAAGCTTCACTACAAACTGCACCACGAATCTGGCATGCTGGAGATCGAGATTCCCCGCCTGCGGCTGGGCTTTAATGTGCGATGTGGTCAACCGTCAATTGAGTCTCGCCAGTACCGGGGAATGGTCGTCGATCCTGATCAGTCAGTGGGCACTCTGATTGGCCTGCGTAACAAGCTCGTTTTGCTGGACCGAAAAACTCATAATCGGAGGGTTCTCATCCCGGAGGGTCAGATAACATGGGAGGAGGACGGTACCCACGTCACCGTCAAGGTTGGTTGGCAGGCAGCAACCAGCGTGCATGTTTATCTCATAAACAGTGACATCGGCTGCTTGATGGACAATGGGACTCTGCAGAGTAAACTGGTACTGTGCTATCTGCATGCAGTCACGTCATTCTGCATCCCTGACCCCTTGACCAAGCACACAGGGA